ATGATTTTATAAGTTACGTAATAAACATAAGTATCTTTTTACGATTTTATAAAATCGTTTCATCATTACTTTTTCACGATGATAAAGCAGCTACAATAAAAAAACGCTATTCTGTCTTATCAGGTAAGAGAAAGTTGAAATATTAAAGTGTTTCAAAATTTTTAAAATATTATCACGATAAATTTATTATTCTATAAATCTTCATCAGCGTAATAAATTTCTCATTTACTTGTTCTTTTTTTTTTTTTTTTTTATCGCGATAAATTCATTACTGTCAAAAAGTAACTCTCCCAGGTAAAAAATTGAGAATATTAGAATTTTACGAATATTTATTAATTTCACATTTGTTTCAAACGTTGTAAATTTAAAAATTTAAAAATTCTATTAATTTTCACCGTCACACAAACAGTTACTACCGTTTTTCCCCTTCTTTTTTCTTTTTTTTTTGAAACGATAAATTCATTATTGCAAGAAAGTAACCTTCTCCTCTTTTATGGATAGATCTTCATCGCCTCGCTATATTTCACGATGATTGACGTAAACAGAAATGCAATTAACCCTCATCCGGTGATGTTGCACTTATCTACGATACATTCGTATCGACGTTGCTATTTAATTTTTTTCTTATGAAAGCACAATCCGTTTACCTCTTCTACAGCAAAGAAAATTTATATTTCGTCCGGACAAATTGAAATTTATCAAATTATATTAACGATCGATGCTTTATGATTTAAGAAAGAAACTTTTATATCATTCCTTCTTTCTTCTTTTTTTCACGCCACGAATGACCGAACCATTTCAATTGAAATTAACTCCTTCTTTTCAGTTTCTTTAATCAATGACTTCAGTATATTCGAATATACACGACAATCAAATAATTTTCAGGATGATCTCGAAAATCATTAAATGCAATTGCTGGGCAGCAACCCTTTTTTTCATTATTATTTTATTAATAGCAGGTTCACGACGAATATCGCAGGGGGTGAGATAAATGGTCGGCGATATTTCACGTATTTTTATTTCCTTCTTTTCCTGTCCCGAATTGTTATGCGATCGGTTATCTCACCGCCGGGGTCAATTTCGCTATCTCTCAATAGAACCATTCTCCTTGCTCTACGAAAACGTTTCCCGTGCGCGGTTCCACGCAATCGGCGATATAATTTCACTACGGGGAATCGTTTCGAAAATTTCCTCTTCGGAGGAATCGAAATATTCGTAACGTGTAAAATACATAATTCGACACGAAAATGGCGCATTAAACAAAAATTTTCGTCCATAATTTTCATCGCTCGGAATTCGATCAATTCGATTTCGAAAGAATGAGATTAAAATTTTTATTTTCACATCGAATAAAAAAAAAGTTTTGAAATTATTCACGCTTCGTATCGTTCAGATATCATCTTTTTATTTTTAAAACAAATATCAGCGAAAGCCTAAAAAAAAAAAAGATATCGTTATTAAAGAATATTAAAGAAAAAATAATAATAATTCAGAATAACAATAAAAAACTTACTTTTGATCGCAAATTCTCATTACCGTTCATTTTATTTGTATTCATGTATTTCTTCATTTCGTTGTAACGAAATTATTATTTAAAAAAAAAATGCGGATATCGGTTTTTTTTTCACGGTTCGATGAGCCGCATCGCAGGACGCATCGCCCGACGAAAAATTATTTCCAGATTTTACAGCAGGCGGGTGTTGAAATTCTATTACAATTGTAAAAGCCGTATCGTGTACGCGGTGTAAACGCGTGTTGTAAATGATAAATCAAGCTTTCACAGGGTTGAATAAATGGCTAATTCACGTGTTTCGGGTATCAGCGCAATTCGGATCCTGTGTGCGGATGCATCTTCGGCTTTATGGAAATACTAATTTATCTTACTAGCTATGCGCTCGAATTATCGGCTCTATCCATTCCCCCAAACATCCACGAATCATATCTCTCACGTTGAATTTGGTTTGGCCAGATGCGAATATTATGTCGGATAAAAGAAATTGTTGAAAATTCTTCTGTGCCTCGAATTAAGTTGAGATGTTTAGATTTATATCCGATTCCGTGATGATTACTTTCAAAAAGTATTCTTAAAATTACTCAAAGAATATCTTCTCGTCAAACGAGAAAAATCTTCGATGCGATAATTGATTCAAATTTTTCCCGCCAAAAGGAGAAATTAATACAACGTGCAAACTTTTTAGAGATATTCAATCTCTCGATCAAGTTGGTTAAGAATAAATGATCCATA